ACACACATTCACACACACACACACACACACACATACACACACACACACACATCTTTAAAACTCTCGTCTATTCTAATTTCTCTCCAGCTTCAAGTCTCTCCTTCCCCTCAACAAACCAACTGCACATCTCTCTGTTGTCACCAGGGGCTCTTCTTCCTTCACCAGCAAAAGCCCAAGACTTATCACCCTTTGTAATAAATAACACTGTTCTGTCTCGCCTATATGTGGACAGCGATGGAGGAATCGAGAAGGTGTGGGTGTAGTTTGTACAGTTTAAAGACAAGTATTGGCCAGCCGGGCTCGCACCTTGAAGACAAGGCGAGCTCGTGGCTATGAAGAATGTCGTCAATTATTATGAGATGGGTTGTTGGGTTTTTTTCACACATAAACAAGCACGCTGATTCTAGCATGATTAAATGTAAGGAAGCGTTTGCTACCCCCAGAGAAATTCTAAGCACGGTGGGTTTCCATTTCCAAGCACAGCGGAGTTCCAACCTCTGTGCCGATCCCCGCATTCCGTCTTGCAGTTGGCCAACCACAATGCACTGCTCCCAAACCGGGAAGCGCAGCAATGTGGCATGTGCACAGATCCCCCTGCAGTAGTAAGGACGAGGGGCTTCCAGTTTTGTTTTTAAAATCAGAACGCCCCCGTTGCACAAGGCACTGCAACTCCGTTCCGAAAAAACCATAGCGGTTTGTTTCCACCGAGGTGTTGCCATAGATAACCAGTGACAAACGTTCGGATCTTGGCACACCACACACACGGCATGCTTGGGAACAATTGTAGCTCTAAGTGAAGCAGATCCATTCGGGGAAGATTCTGCGATCTGTTTCTGGTGATGCCGTGAAGGAAAGCTCTTATCTACAAACGGCCCATTATCAACAGAACCGAAAAGGCCCTTGCCACACACGGAACAACTCCCAGTAGATCCACACAGAAGCCACCTAGTCTCTGCCTCCTCGGGCCCCTCCCCCCGGGGGGAAGTGGTTAAAGCGTAGAGCTCGGACGTCAGTACCAGCGAGCGATTAGGTAACAGTACAAGAGTACATGTTCTTTGACCTCTGCCTAGTCCGGGGCCGAGGAGATGGCCAACTTCCGCTTCTGTTTACGCGCCATCTGTCGTCTGCGCCGGCGCCGTCCCTTATGTTTCCTGGGGTGTCGGGTCCGGTGTCGTTTCGGAGACAGTTGTTCCAAGTCGGCCTTGAACTCTGGAGACAAGGTCGGCGCGCTGCCGTCGGACCCCGCCGCTGACTGACCTCCGGCTGACCCCGACCCGGACTCGGCCCCCGGCGGGAGAACTAGCTCACTCTGGTATTTGTCCAATAACTGGTTCAGTTTGACGATTCGATGCCGAGACTTTTTCCGTTTTCTTTTCAGGACTGGGTAGTGATCCTGCCCCTCCGCCTCCTCCGACGCCACCGCCGCCCCATCCTTTTTCTCTCGCTGACGTTTCTTTTTCGTAAGATTTCGAATCCGACGAGAAATTGCCTGGTAATGTTTTAACAAAGCCTGCGCCAGTAGTTTGATTCTCCTGAGGTCAGGCCTAAGCTTCCTGTGTGTGAGATAACGCTCCACCTTCCTGATCAAACACTTCCTCTTGGCTCTCTTCGGCTTCCGCATCATCTGTCGCAGAATGTCACAGACGCAGATCTTGGCTCTCGGCGGGCGGGCGGCGTCGGCCGGGCCCAGCTCACTCGGAGCCTGACACTGCTTGTGTTTCTTGTAGCAGTTTCGGATGTATTTCGTATTGCGGCTGATCCGCTTGATATTCCAGCACCAGCGAGCCTTCAGCTTCTGACGCAGAGCTCTGCGGTCTTTTTCAGGTGCCCTCCAGGGTTGGGGCGTGCATTTCTCGGCCGGCGCCGGTCGCTGGGACACCTGCAACATCTGCTTCAGGGCCTTTATCTGCTCCTCCGGAACCTTGTCGTACATGAACCTGGACGTCTGGTTGCTGGCGTTGGCTTCGTATCCAGGCAACGAGTCGCAGTCGACGCCGAGGAGAAGCTTCCGGTCCGGCCGGCTGTGGTGCACGAACTCGTAGTAGAGCCAGTAAGAGCCGTTAGGATACAGGCTCCGCTCCTTCATGTAGCAGTCCTGGCTCAGACTTTTCTGAGGAGTTCAAAGGAAAGCAGAGGTCAACATTAGCTGTCAGGGAAATCGGTATCATCTTTAGTTTGTCCCCCCGCCCCCCTTTTTTTTTAAAAACAAAAATGAGAAGTTTCGTAAGAGTTTTAGGGTACTTGCAACACAATAAGGTCGTATAAGTGCCGAGATTTAGAAGTGTTACAAGAGAGAAACACACACAAAAGGAGGGGAGACAAGGGCGATAGATGTCGGATAGGAAAGAAGGAGCAAACCACACCAAAGCACCCGCCAACCACCCACAAAATAAGAAGTCAATGTTTGTTTTTGTCTGTTTATTTGAGAAAAAAAAATAAGAAGAAAAATTGGTAATTTGACGAAAAGTTTCTACAATTTGGAACATTGGACGGCTCTGAGAAAAACAGAAGAAGTTTTAAGGTTTAGAAAGAACTATCAGCTTCACTGGGACATTTTTTTTTAAAGCATTGGCGGAGTTTAGGAGAAAAATCTGGGAGAGTAACAGTCACTAACTGTTGGAAACAAATAATAAAAACCATAATCAAGAACAACATAGTAATAGATGGATGAAGTAGGTATCAGACATACTGTGCCTTCCATCGTTGCGGATGAACGTGGTTCGAATCTCTGATACGGTTTTAGTTTGGTTATAGTCAACGAGTTTTACTGCGCGGTATTTTTTTCCGGGTGAGTAGATAAAAGGGGTGTTTCCATTTCGTGTGAACTTCAATATTTTCACGTGAGGCTTCCTTGAGATACGAGTTTTCCCTTGGAAATACATGCAGGGTGGAAAAAGATGCGGTGCGGTGAGTGTGCTGGTGGAGGTGGTGTTACTAGAGTTGTTGCTGTTTTCGCTGCTTCTGCTGCAGCTGTTGTCGTTATTGTTGTACTTATTGTTGTTGTTGTTGTTGTTGTTGTTGTTGTTGCTGTTGTTGCTTTGTTGTTGTTTTGTTGTTGTTGCTGTTGTTGTTGCTGTTGTTGCTTTGTTGCTGCTATTTTTGTTGATTCAAACAACTGCCAGTTAGACGTCTGAGCATTGAGCACTTTCCTGGTGAAAATCTGCTATTATTATTATTATTATTATTATCATTGTCATTATCATTATCATTATTATTAGTATCATTATTATTAGTAATTATTATTAGTATCATTATTATTAGTATCATTATCATTGTCATAATTATCATTATCATTATTATTACCGTTATCATTATTATTATTGTTGTTATTACTATTATTGTTGTTATAATTGTTGTTATTATTGAAGTTATTATTAATATCATTATCTTTATCGTTAATGTTTTTGTTATTATTATCACTGTTATTATTATTATCATCAATATTGTTATCATTATTATTATTATTATTATTATTTATTATTATTATCATCATCATCATCATCATCATCATCATCATCATCATCATCATCATCATCATTGTCGTTGTTATCAAGTGTCACTCACCGACAGATACAGCCTCCCTGAGGAGTTCATGCACAGGTAGTGGGGGTCGATGAAGCTCTGGATGATCACGTGGTTCACGTGCGTGTTGAACCTCACGATACCTGAGGGCACACACACAAACATACAACATGATCAGAACAACTGGAATGTGATTGATTTATTAGCACACACACACACACACACACACACAACATGATCAGAACAACTGGAATGTGATTGATTTATTAGCACACACACACACACACACACACACACACACACACACACACACACACACACACACACACACACACACACACACACACACATACAACATTATAAGATCAACTGTTTTTAGTTTTAGTAAGAGTTTTACGACACTTACAACACAATATATATGTAAGGTCATATAAGTGCCGAAGATTAGAGATGTTACAAGAGAGTGTCAAACACAAAAAAGAAGGAGGGGAGAGATAAAGACGATAGATGTATGATAGGAAAGAGGAAGCAAACCACACCAGAGCACCCGCCAACCACCCACAACTGGAATGTGATTTATTGGTATTGACTCATGAGCCAAGACACATTATTTTTCGTGCGCAATGATTAAAACCTGTACCTGTAGAGTTAAAGCAGCCCGTCTCTTAAATGACCTAAACTGTGTTGATGGGAGCGTAAATGTCTACAAATAGAGCTAGAGCTCTTTCCCTGATGGTTTTGATATGAGCAAAAAGGGGAACGCGATAATATGTCAGTCAAAAATCATGAAACTATAACAAACAACAACAAAAAACGACCGGAAGATTTATGTGCAAACAGTATCTCCTAATCACTAACATCACGTTCTTTATTCTCATAAAAGGAGAGCCGAAGAGCCATTTTATCTCTATTTGTCAAAGTTCGTCACTTTGGTCGCCTTAAACTTCCAAACCACTGAACTTTCAAATTTGGAGAAAAAAAAATTAACGGTTTTTCAGAATCATGTAAAGGGTGCCATTAAGGAGTCTAAATTCACTGTAGTTTAATTTTCAATTTTTCATTAGTTTCGTTTAAATCTGATTTAAACTGATTTAAATCTGATTTAGACGCCATTGTAAAAATAAGTGAGGCTTCCATTCACAAGCAGTGCGCACTGTTTCCACAATGACTTGGACGATCGATTCTTTCGACTCCGTTCATAGAACGGGTACCCAGCTAGATCTAGTTACAGGCAAAGATCGTAGATGTACGATCTTAGTTACAGCATAAAACGTTTCACCCCAAAAGGATCGCCGTAATAGTCTCCATACACTGCAGCCTCGGCCCGCATTTTGATGACGTCATCAAGGCGCAGATCTTTCGGGGTCAGTGAGGCGGAAGTCATGAGTTCTCCAGTCTGTCGCGCTGCTAGAAGTCTCACGACACGGTGGATTCACGCGCTCGTACATTTTTGGGGCATATGGAGTTATTGGTATCATCTTAACGCCTGTTCATTTGCCTTGCTTTTGATGGAAAAAATATCTATTTAACATAGATACAGGTCAAGATATTGGTGATTGAAGGAGGTGGGGGTCGCCTGATTTCAGAGATAAATCTAGCGAGAAAATGGCCGCCTCGGTTGCATTATTTCCTTAGCTTGAGAGTCCGTGGAAACTAAAAATTTACATCTTTTATGCCTTTAATCAACGTTTTTCAGTATAATCCACACAAAAGTTAGTTCTTTAATAAAAATGTATGAAAGGTATTAAGCCACAAAAAAAACATTCGATAAAAATAACCAAACCTGAAAAAAAGCCAGTTTCTTCAATTTTTATTATTTTGACGAGCGCCTGATTTCACCACGGTGCCCCTGAGAAATCCGGGAGGAACCAGGTAGATTCCCATAGACTATCTCCGCGCCTCACTGACCCGCTCTGTCGGCGCCCTGTTTGCCTTTCCGCGTGGATCCCCCCCGTCCGGTCGCATTACCGGCCACGCAATAATTGGACCTATATGTTCAGGGTCCAAGAAGTGGAGGCGGGGTTTTTTTGTAATTATTATCTTGGTTTGCTCAAATATGCAGGAAAAAAACCCGCCAAAATATGAATTGTTTAAAGTAGTTTTATTTACGTTTATAGCGAAGTGTGTTATGTCACTGATTTGTTGGGGGGGG